CAGGCAGGAGAAGAGCTGCTGGAGTGGTCTGTTAGATGTGTAGTCGGGAAACCACAGGAAAGCTTTATTTCTGGCAAGTCTGCATTTTGTCAGGATGCACCACTGGTGTTACTAGACAAAAGGAAGCCCGCTGCTACATGAGATTAAAAGGTAGAGGCAGTGATAGCTACAGAAGATCACTGTGAAACTCATTTGATAACCACCTTAAATACCCCCTCGAGAGTGAATTTAACTGCTGGAGAGCACTGGTTCCAAGTGACTGTCCGGCAAGTATGGTGACAAGGATGCACGTTCTGAGGAAGCGTTTCACTGACAGCAGAGCAAACTAGAGGAGAACTTCTACCTGCATTGCTGACATTTGGGAACAATAATATAAGAAAGCATTCTGGTGCCAGGAGTCTTGTGTTGTTTTTTTTTCTTCCTGAGTCCTGGAGAGGGATTTTGTAGCCCCCTCCCAGAGGAAAACTCCAACCAGAACTCAGAGTACTGCAGACTTTCCAGAGAACAGGCATGGTACAAAATGTGATTTTGGTGTTTTTCCGCAGGCGACTCAGCCAAAGACCTGCTGTTGAGGAGCTAGAAAGAAGAAATATACTTAAACGTGAGTATTTTTTTCCTAAAGTATTTTATATGTGTTTGTTGAAACCAGCAATTGCATTTCTAGAACATATTATTTTTAAATAGGCAAATTCATTCAGTGAGATTATTTTCTGTTCCTAAAACTTTTAATTTTTCACATGTCCTGGGTTTCAAATAATGCAGGAATCAGAATTTACACTTTGATAAAGGCATGCAATATAGTACAGAAAAGAATGACTTGTTCAAATTTAGGCTTTCAAATAATTTTCATTCTGATTGCACTGTTACAGATGCCTAAGCAGGGAGTGCAATCTCAGTGTCACACAGTGCAATGAGCACTGGACTGTCATTTTTCAAGATGTGACCTGTCATGGGAAACCGTACCCTGAATACCACCAGGGCTGAAATGGAATGGAGAAGGCATCCTTGCAGAGGTGTGATTCTCCTAGCAAGTACCTTTGTTCCTATCATTAGAGACCTTCCCAAAGACAAGTCAAAGACAGACCATTCTGAGATATTGGCGTTATTAGAGGGACAGTTCCAGGCCTGTTACGGATGCTGCCACAGGGGAATGGTCTCAGCATCTCTCAAATAAACACAAGGCATAAACTTGCAACTCTTTTCCTAAAGACTGGTGTTCTGAGCTGGGGAGCAAACAAGGGATGAACAGAATCCCTTTTGGTACAAGTGCTGGGAATCCTCTAAGGGGAAGGTGAGAGAGAGCTTTGAAATTGTCTCCATTAGGAGTATCAGACAGGAGGAAGGGAGAGGCCATCTGCTTGAAGGACAAGAGTACTGCTTCTGTTATCTACATGGTCTATTTAGTGTTGAAAGACAAAAAACAGAATGATGTGAATAGTTTGTTTCTCATTAAACAAGCATAAAACATAAAGGCACCTAAGTTTATGTGACACAAGCAATGCTGCCTATGCTATTTAATTCATACATAATTATTAATGGGGTTGTAATTCACTAGGGAAAAAATTATTTACATTTTATTACCTAAAATTTAATGTCTCAGAACTTTCTTAGTAGTTCATAGAAAAAACCTTATGCTCTTACCATTGAAATTATTGGGGATTTCATTTCAGTTTTAATACATAGGAATTCCATAGTCAACTTACATTGATGGGCATTTTCAGTACTGTTCCACTGCATACGTCGCTCCTGGTAAAATTAGATGTCTCTAACACGTGCATAGCTAAATGAGAAACAGGATACATTCCTTGCAAATGTCAACGGGTGAACCCGGCCTAACTTCACCTGTCATCTACCACGAGAGACAAGAAAAAGCATTAACCCAAAATGCTGAAATATGCGGGGCCAGATTTTCAAGAGTCAGTACCTAAGATCTCTGAAAAACTGTTTCTTTGGGGTTTTTTTCCAGGCTAAGGAAGAGTTGATCTCTACTGAAAAAAATCTGTTCCTTTATGTTTACTTTTTGAAGTGTGCTGGTTACATCCTTAATCTGGGTTAAACTGACCAGCTTTAATAATAAAAAAGTTTGAATACATTCATATAATGAGCTTAGAGAGAGATAAAGCAGCAAGCAGATAAAGCAGAATTAAAGATACTTCCTGAATGCCAGCTAAACATACTGGTCTAGATTTGTATCTCATTTAAAGAGCTCCCAGCATGGAGCAAATTTATTGACTTCAGTTCAGTTGCTCAGGCTTTACGCAGGTTCAGCTGAGATCAGAACCACTTCTATTTTATTTACCTCTTCCATTATTTAAAAAGCTAGGTATCTTGTAAAGAGCTAAGGTCATCACTGAGCTGCATCAGCTGTCATCTTAAAAGGCCGGACAGGTGCAGCAACTCTATTCTCAGTTTTGAGTGAATTTGGAAATTAGTAAAGTCTCCTCTTACTAATCAGGATCCCGACATTCTTGTTAGGGACTTCAAAACCACCTGCACTGGGTCTGACATGCAAAGCGGTAGCAGTACAAATGCCCTTCGGTGAAATCACTACAACCTCCTCCAGGTTGAAGGGTTTGTACAGTTGTGTTCTAAGTCTCCCAACATCTTTGATATTCATAATGCGTACCGCTAACGGAAGCGGTGCTGCCCCAAAGCTGTTTTAAGGATTAATAATTCACATTTGTACAACTCTGCCAAAATGAGAAGCATATTGCAAGCGCCTAAGTGCAACTACTATTTTATTTTAAAACAAATCTCAGTAAGATTTTAAAAAGTGACTTCTTACCTCCCTTTGGGAGATGTTTCTGACATAAAAGTAATACTTAAAAAGCAAGCTTGTGGCCAACTCTTTCTTACAGTTTTGCTGATCTTCTAAGTCCTTTAACTATAAAACACTGCTGGTTTACCACAAAGCCCGGGAACTAAAATCCCCACCCAGGTGTTCACATGTGTTCTTCCTGTGTTCAACAGAAAGCTGACGTTCCCATTCAAGAGGGCAGCATCTCTCAAATCACACTGTGCAATCCCCAGTTCCTTCTTAACACGAGGAACGGTTTCAGTGTCATGCACAGCTAAGAGTCCCCTGAATAACTCGCAGAGCAGCAAAATGAATTACAGTACTGCACACGCCACGGCATAATTGGGAGTGTCGCTGTAGTGAGATTTATAAAGCCAGCCCTCACTAATGAGTGGATCGAGGAGTGGGCAGAGTGATGCTGATGGGAAACCTCTCGGGTTTCTCTCTGCAATAACGCCTGAGCTGTGTAATGCCCTTGCTAGCATTTCCTGTCAAATCTTATTTTTTCTGAAAGAGCTATTTCTTGTATTTCTTGAAGCTGGGAATACACACTGAACCTGAGTGAATGTCTCATCGAAATGTGTCGCTATACATGTTTAGTATATTTGGAAAAGCATTTTCTGATCAGAAATGCGTATTTGTGCTTTTCTTTAGCAATTCTCTCAGTGCATATCACAGTCCTGTCTTAAAAGGCACTATGCCACAGAATATTCTCTTCTTTTAATAAAATCATATAGATAGGAATGTCTACTCTAAAAGGGGTGAATTAAAACTGAATGAAGCATATTAGTAACTTTTTGTGGGTATCTCTACATCTCAGAATACACTTTTTAAAGTCTGTTCTGTTTTTAAACATTCCAGACTTAAAAAGCGGCTCATCCCTGACAGAACACTCATTTTAGCTGTCCTATTCTCTTTTAAATTTCTGTGCCTTGCCACCGTATTGGAATATAGCACATTATAGCATTTTCGATTCATTTGATTTACATTTCTACTATAGCCAGTTGTGGCTACGCACTACTATGTTATTTTAAATAGATACTTACGATTGCATTTCACTGTAATTTAGTGTGCATAAAAATAAGGGAGAAGAATGCTTCATTACTAAAACTATCATTTTGGAAACTCATCTGCAGTGCTATACTTTTTCAAGGCACATTAAAAATCACGTGTGTGCTTTACCACCTAATGCAAGTGGCATAATAAGCTTCACAGTAGTATCTACAGACTCCCAGAACAGCTCAACATTTTTCTCTAGGTCTTCAGCTTTGTTCAGGTCATGGGCTCATGCCTTAATTTAGTAACAGACGGTACTGGAAATAGAAACGCCATTAACTTGTTTCCCAAGGCAAAGGATATATTTCACACAGTGTTACAGCACTCTAGTCTATTTTTAGACCCAGTGTGTAGGAGTTATCACGGCTTGAATGTTAATAGGCACAACACACAAAGGAAGCTGGCTTAGGTTAGAATGGAACGCTACAAAAGAAAAGCCCGTGAGGATCAAGAGGTTCTAATGCCAGTGGCATCTCCCGAATCGCAGAGGGCAAAAGCATGAGAGCCACCGATCACTGTTGGGGCAGTGTGGCCACCGCAGGGTGTAGCCTGAGAATAAGGTAATACAGGACAGAACAGTTTTCCCGGAGTTGCTGCAGTCAGTCTTTTCAGCACCTACAGCAATGAATGGAGAATAAAAACTATGGAATACTTTCATTTTCTAAAGTTTACACAATTGGAGAGTCAGCGCGGCTGCTGTTTTATTAAACCTCCTTGGAACTGGAGTTTAGAGCACAGGAAAAGCTGACATTGGCGCCAGCGTGTTGTCCTTACAGAGAGGTAACTCTGTTCCGGTAGAGAGCCAGCGAGATGTACTGAACTAACAAAACGCACACCTGAGAACCAGCTACTGATTTTTCTGTGCTCTAATTTTTATTGCCTGGAACTTTGGAAACTACCAATCCTCCTCATGAGGAAAGTCATCTTTTTTTTTATATTCTCTGCAGAACGAAATGATCAAACAGAACAGGAAGAAAGAAGGGAAATCAAACAGAGACTGACCAGAAAGGTAAAGTCTTGCAATACCTTCTGTTAGTCTTTAGAAATTTAGCAAAGCTCATATAACTTCAACCAGTCATAAGGGTCATTATTACACAAACCCTCCCTTACTATACATCCTCCTCAGCCGTGTCTGAGACAGCGGTATCTGCTAATATGAACTATAAAAATATCTACATCATCTCAGCTACATGAGACTTAACATCATGTTTACATATAAACCCTAAATCAGAAAATGGGTATTTGCTTGTACACTGCGTATTTTGCAGCTGTGTCGCTAGAAAAGGACTCCTTCATTCTTTGTAGCAATCAGTAGCGGCGCTGACTCCCTGCTGAGCACCAGTGAATTTCTCTTTGCGTTTAAGGCACTCTCAGAATCAGAACCGGCTCTTGTTACCGTTCTGTTCCTGGGAATCCCCACCGGAGTTACAAGCCCAACATGCCCATAACTTGCTAAAGCCAAAGTGAAATTCTTACCATGGGTCCGGTCCTGAAAACCTCACGCAGACAATCTGCCGCTGACTGTAGTAGAAAACCCCAACAGCATATGATATTATACATCGATCATCATAAATTCATTGTGACTCACTCCATCACCTATTGTAAATGCATTTTATCAATATTCAGGTTAAATGTTTTCTCCTTTTGTCCATTATGAAGACACTGTGCTCTAGCCCACAACTCCATTTAAACCATTATCACTCTCCGAAAAATCCTCTGAAGGACTGAGTATTTCCCTGGAATTTCCAAGGGTTTGGGTTTTTTCCCATATACATAAAAGCATACTAAGCTAAGACAGGAAACAGAAAATGTTGCACGTTTTATTGATACGTTTGTTATCAACATTGGTTTTGTTTTACAAAACTCTTTAATACAGCTTAACCAGAGACCTACAGTTGATGAACTGAGAGACAGAAAAATCCTGATTCGATTCAGTGATTATGTGGAAGTGGCGAAAGCACAGGACTACGACAGGCGAGCGGATAAACCGTGGACAAGACTATCAGCAGCAGATAAGGTACCGACATAATTAAAACGACATATTACTGCTTTCTGCTTGCTTTGTCCGTAATGATACATCAGATTCTGCAAAGACATTTAACCCCTGGGACATTAATCTCTGTAAATGTTACCATTATTTTTTATGCTGAAACAACACTGACCGACGCAGAGTGTCATAAAAAGTCCTATTTATAAAAGTGCCTATTTAGTACTATAAAGGCTTCTACCCAGCCCAGCAACGGAGAGAGAAAACAAAAAAGGTGGATCCAATCTTTCTTAATGCTTTAGGGCCGCAACTCAAAATCATTTCCAGCCAATGCACTATTAACATTTATCCTCAGACTGGAATTTTTGTCCCAAATATGCAAATACCATCCACTGTCTCTAAACATGCCAAACCGTTCCTTTCCCATTTCCTGTGAATGCTCATGGAGTCACTTCATCCCACGTTTTCACGAGCATAAACAAACACTCGTTTCTGTTCCATCACACAGCTGCCCGACACCCTAATTTAGCTTTTGCATTTAGGTGCTTGAGTAGTAAAAAAAAATAGTTGCGCATGATTCCAGGTAGGAAAGTTGCTGAACAAGTTGTGGAGTTTCAGGGCTGCAGCCAGCGGAACGAGTCGGGATGCCGAGATAAGTCCTGGGCACAGCCGCAAATAGTGGACGGTTACTTTTGGCTTTGCTCTGAGATGGAGAGCTCAAACGCTTCATTTGCCATTCCAGTGTCTCCCCAGTAAAAGTTGTAATAAATGGTTTTAGAGGAGTCACAGCAAAGGCTCAGTGTGTTTCTGCTCTCTCTCCTGAGCTCACTAAAATGCTGAATAAACTATGATATATTATTCAATGGAGTGATGATTTTGTATTTTCCTTCTGTGTACTGGGTATGTATTAAAATTAGTATTTTCCTAGTTTTACTGTTTTTATATTGCAAACTAGGCAGCTTTATAAGCTAAAAAGAAAGTGGCAGAGTTTGACTGCCTGTCCTGGTGCTGTATGTCAGCACTTCAGGGGCAGGAGTTCGACCATTGCATTTGTGACTGAAAAACTTCTCTTTCAGAGCAGACAAATGCATTAATTTTTCCTTATTTTTCTTTTAATAAGCCAAATCTCTGATATAAAACATGATCCTCATAATTTTAGATAGCTTAACTAAGAAGTACCAAATATATAAGCATCTGTGAAAGCACCAGTAGATTCCAGTTCACTTACAGCTGCCATTTAAACAAAAGAATGCTCTCACTTTGATAGCCTTGAGTTTCATTATATTAAATTTTTCTTCACTTCTGACTGTGCAATCCTATGGATACAGGTGATAACACAGTCTGGACTGGTATTTGCAAGCGGCAATAAGGCAAACAGTCTGATTTTCATTAGAAATAATGACGCACGTTGAAATTCCGTAGAAGTCATCTGACCAATTTCTCAGCAACTTCTCTTAGTCTTTAATAAATTTTAACTGGAATCTTATTTAATGTAAGACAATAAGGACCGTGATTTTATTCCCCTCCCAGAATTGCTTCTGGGCAGAAGTGACCCTGTCATCAATCAGTACTGAACAAGAAGTATCCCATCACCAATCGATACCACGCAGATATCAGTGTCCCCGCGGGTGCAGCGTTGCTGTGCCCACTACAGGTTATTCCTCCTCTAGAAAACTCCTGTTCTGCTCTGCAAGTCCAGTATTGTACAATGCTTATAAATTATGTACAACGCTTATAAATACGAAATTATTTGGTAACCACCTTCTATTTTCAATTCCTAGGCAGCAATTCGGAAAGAGCTAAATGAATACAAAAGCAATGAGATGGAGGTACATGCGTCAAGCAAACATTTGACAAGGTCAGTTTTCCAGCTGTTATTTCCATTGCCTGCTAAAAACAGCCTGCTTGACTCCTGAATCCGGAGATTCTGCTCTTAAATGCTGAATGTGGGAGAAGGATATGCAAAGGAAGCCTTATTTTAAAAGAAAGTGGAAGTATTTATTTTCCAGTTCAGAACCTGGCTTTTTTTTAGTATTATTTTTGCTTTGACTAGCATGGACTGAGAAGCCGACAGACCTTCTCCCAAACATCACTCAGCTTGTATTCTTTGCACTGAAGATTCAAAAGCTATGACAAAAAATTAAGTATAGGGTATAACATAGAAAAAAATATTTTTTTTAAGTAGAAAAACAACTTAATACACTATATAAAGGTTTTAGAATTAAACATGCTTGAGTGTGCAACCTTATTATCGCAAACATTGCAACTTCCCTGCTAGGAAATATGAAATTCTACGTACCATAACGAGACACACACTGCCCTTAAGTGATGCCTTTGATCTGAGGGATTCGGCCTGCAGCGTTCAGCA